AGAGTTTTGAAAGATAGATAATTTAGGTGGAGAGGAACTACACCCTCAAGAAGTCTGATCGGGCGAGCTATCCTTGACTCTTGGGAGCAAATCAATAACGTGATATGAGTACAGATCTCTGCTTTGTTTCTTTTTGACTAAATAGCCTTATACTCTTAACACATCTTCCAGGAAGGTGTTATTGATTGTGCTGCATTTCAGTGGTACACGCTGATTATAGGGGGAAAGATGTGTATGTTCTGTAAGAAGGCAGGTGCAAAACAATTAAAGAAAAACCAGGACAAAAACACTCCGAGAGCTTGGCTCCCCCTATTCAAGTTGAGGAGCAGGCCGCAGTCGACACAAAGCAATTTCAGGCAGTGAATACCCTGTTTTCCACTGACAAAGAGACTGTGTAAATTGAGAAATGTGAAGGAATGCCAATTCAGAAATTTGAGCTTTACAAAAATATTTTGGTTTAAATTTAACGAAGGAGCTTTGTATTCTAAAGATTAAAGCATGAAAATAGTTATCTTTCTGGGAAGGATGTTTCTCTTATTAATGCTTTAAGTAAGAATAGCATCTTCTCAAGTGTACACCCAGGTGTTCCTTCTCCCAACAATGGACCTGTTAGAGCAGGAGGAGGAATCAATCAGCAACAATGCCAAAGACACAGGTGCAGGGGACTGTCTTGCTGGAGGCCGGAATGAGGGAGGAGGGCCAACCGGAGTAAGGATGAAGATGGAGGTAGGCTGGAGAGACATGCTGGTATCACAATGGCAGTGGCATAAGAAGAAATTCTTGGGGAGAGCCGGGCTCAGATAATGTTTGAGTTGGTGGACAGGCAATTTGTACAAGCTAGACTTGGATTTTTATTTTCATTTTTATTTTTTTGAGACAGAGTCTTACTCTGTCATCCTGGCTAGAGTGCCCTGGCATCATCATAACTCACAGCAACCTCAAACTTCTGGGCTCAAGCAAACCTCCTGCCTCAGCCTCCCAAGTCGCTGGGACTACAGGTGCCCACCACCAGCCTGGCTAGTTTTTCTATTTTTAGTAGAGATGGGGCAGGGGATGTCTCCCTTTTGCTCAGGCTGGTCTTGAACTCCTGGTTCAAGCAATCCTTCTGCCTCAGCCTCCTGAGTAGCTGAGACTGCAGGCACCCTCCACCATGCCTGGCTAGTTTTTCTATTTTTAGCAGAGATGGGGTGTGGGGGTGGTCTCACTCCTGCTCAGGCTGGTCGAGAACTCCTGAGCTCAGGTGATCCTCCTACCTCACCTTCTCAGAGTGCTGGGATTACAGGTGTGAGCCACTGTGACAAGCCTGTTTAATTGGGTTGTTGATTCATTGGTAGCTTTCACTGTCATCTTGCCTGTTGGCAGAGTTTCCTCCTTTGTGCCAGCTCCCAGAACAGGTGGATGACCATATTTAGACATTCTTCCTGCTCATCAGGAGATACCAAGGAGGGCAGGGCAGGACATTCTTCTGGGCGTGTGTCAGGCACCTCGCTGGCGGCCTGGATGCGCTTCCAGGGCACAGCTGCGTCTTACTCTTCGCTTTCTTCCTTGTGCCTGTTAGACCGTGAGTGTCTTCCCCCCAAGATCTGTGGAAATATCACCAGATTCTCAACATCACACGTTTTCATTCAGCAGATTTTGACCCAACACCTATAGCGTGGGAGGCACTATTTCTAGACCTTGGGAATAAAATGGAAATAAGGTCTTTGTTCTCACAAAACCTATACTTTAATATAATAAAGTTTATAAAGAAAGGTAATTGAGCAGATAAGAGAATAAGATCATTTCAGCGCATTATGAGTGCACCTTAAGAAAAGGGGTTATGTGTTTGTGTAATAAGGAAGATGCTTAGACTGGCTGACCAAGTCCCACCTGTCCGGCTAGTGAGTTTTCCTCTCTCTAGACCAGACATCTCGGCCATATGGGTCTATCCAGAGGGACTTCCCAGCAGAGGCAGAAGATGGCCCAGAGACCCTAAAAGGGATTTAGGTGTTTGGCATGTTGGAACAGAACACACCACTGTCACTAAGGTGGACACATCATTTCCCATTTATGCACCAGATGTCAAAGCCAGATGTCTTTCGTCTACCTTTTATCAAGTGAAAAGAGTAGAATTCAAATAAATGCAAAGAATTACAGTGTAAAAATACACAACCTCGTGTTTGAGTGTTTAAATGAGAAGAATTCTCTTCAGGGCCTCGGCCCTCTGAGATGGACACTCGTGATACGTGTGTTGAAAAGAATGCAGGTGTCTGGCAGTCTGTGACCAAAAGGCTGTGCTCCCTCAGAATGACTCGGAGGGTGGCATTTGTTTAAGTGCCAAAAATCAGTAAATGTTATTATAAATAAAGTTTCAACATATCATCAAGGCATTTTCCCACTGGAGGTGAATTAATCATTGCCGTATTTTTAAACACTGCTGTCCAGTTATTTTTAAGTAATGTACAGTATTTCACTATGTTATTTCCTTCAAGGATGTAATATGTCACTGAAAATTATCAGCTAAATTTTCTTAGGTTTTCTGATTTTCTGTTGTTTATCTTATGCTTATCATCTGTCAAAAGGGCATATTTAGTATACTTAGTCTGTATGTATATATAGACCTTTCCTCCTGGCTAATTTTTATATCTCTGTGCTCTGTATAAAATCTCCTAAGTAAAATAAAATGATCTCAATTCCATGCTGTTTACGGGACTACCTTGTTAAACAGAAAGAGCTGTGTTAATTTTATTTTCATTATTATGAAGAATAGCGTGGAAAGAGCAAGAAGCATTTATAAAAGGCCCGTTTGGCAGTGGCCTTTTATGTCTTTGTCTGAACAGAATGTCCTGACGTGAAAATAAAGTGGAAGTATTAAAACATAGCTTTTCTATGAGCTCAGGCCCTATTACTTAGGAATGTTTAAAGAGAAAGCATAACCCAGGCAATAATAGATTTGGAAATTCTGCATTGTGGTCAGAATAAGATCGAGTTTGGTGGAATTAGTTTATGTTGAGTATTCAGCGCGGGATTAGATAGCAATGTTAACAAATCCACAGATTTTCCTGGGGTGAAAATATCTCATTTCAGAGAAACGTTATGTTAGGGAAGCATGTTTTTAGAGGTGGAGCTGGAGATTTTTTTGTTTTGTTTTGTTTTTCTTTTTTTTTTTTTTAATTTTTTTATTGTCTTCTTTTCCATCTGTTGCAGGGAAGTTGAGTATTTTCAAGCACTCTTTAACATGACAACTATTAAAAGGGAAAATTATACACTACATTTTTGGGCTGTGGGATGCTTGAAGGTAGATAGAATAATAAGCTTTCCGTTCAGAGAAAAGGAGGGTTGCTACTATTGTTTATTTTTGTAGCTACTCTTCTGTCATAATAGTGCAGACCCTTTTGGCTGAGTTGTTTGGCAAGATGTCTCCTGGGGACAGATGAGTTATCTAAGCAGCACAGTGTTGCCTCACGAAGGGATGATAGAATAGGAAAGAGTCCCAGTTCTTTAACATGTCCGACTTTTGAAGGCAGAAGTACTCAAGTTGCCAGTAAAATCACTTGTTTTACTTTATTTTACCAAGTGGTCCATCCTTATCAATGAATGCGATTCAGCAGGCAGTTTTAAATTCTGGACAACCAAGGAAAGTTTTAGAAGAAGGCCTCTACTTAAACAGTCGTGCAAAATCACTTAAATAATGTTTGTAACTTAGGGAGTGGAGTTACAGCCCAAAACTGCCTGTGACTCTTCTCTGCCTGGCCTTGATCTTGTTTGTGTGATTCCGTGCAGACCAGAACTGAAGAGTAATTAATTGCTGAGAAGAAACTCACGTGAGCTGGGTGACCTGTGCAACCTCACCTCTCTGAGTTTCTGTTCCCTCATTGCAACAGGGACACAATACTAAGAAGTGTCTCTTGAGGTTGACGTGTGCGTGGTCTGTAGTGAACCCAGCAAATGTCAGCTTTGGTTATCACGATGACGGTGGCTACGACTGCAAAGGAAATAAGGTGTGTCTGGGCCCAACTCTGCCACTGGCCTATTACAAGCCCTTCCCGGTGCCAGAGCCCCTTGTGTGCAAAAAGGAGCTGGAAATAAGCTCCATCCCTCTGTGACATTTCGTGATTTAATTGATTTAATGCAGCATGCTTGTAGCACAGAGCTGGCCTATCATCAATAGAGATGAAAATTGGTTGAGCACCAACTGTGTGCAGCATGGTGCTAGTGTGGGTTTGGGAGTAACAAGGGATGTGAGGCACCCCCGGGTCACGCGCTGTGTGCTCCAGGTTTTATGCCTACGCAAACAGCAAGGGCAGCAAGTGCCACAGGAGAGGGGGCTGTGAACAAGCCCCCGGGGCGGCCAAGTTGCGGAGCAGAGAAGGAAGCGCACGCGGCGTTGGGGTGGGGGCCAGGGCACAGGTCTGGCATGGAGCTAAGGGAAGGAAGGTTCTCTTGCCATGCGGCACCAGCCAACCATTCGGAGATGCTTGGCTGGCCCAAGAAAACCCACATCAATTTCCAAAATCACTGCCTTGCCTTTAATGATCTACAGTTCCTTTATTTGCTTTGGCTCTTTTATCAGAGCCACATATGGGTCTTTTTCTCCCCCACTTTGTTCTATGTGGGCTCTAAAAATATTTTATTAAACATGACAGATTATATATGTGTGTGTATATATAGAGAGAGAGTTATTGCTTATAATATGATTACTTGGAGTTATTATTGTTACCATCTTTAGGATAAAATATAGATCAGTACTATTCAGATCCCAGACATGCAATGAAATATGTTACACGTATATGGTGTTTTCATAGCAGAGACTGCCATGGGACTAGATAAATGAATACGCCATCGTTGATGCCTGGCTTCAAAGAGCTAGAAGTCTATAAAGACAGACGCTCAAGTGTACCTCCTTATTAATATGCATATAAAAGGAAATGGGAGCCGAAAGTAAGAACATATGCAGAGCTTGTGAGCCATTTGTGTAGTTTCTGCTTCCCTCTCTCTCTCTTTCTTTGTCGTCCTCTTACAGATTCTTCCATGGTTATGTAGTTCTTGGAGTGTGGTTCCTCTCCATTGTAACAGTCATTTTCTCCATACACTTTATAATTTTTGACTGTGAGCTCATCTTCGGCCATGTCCCCAAGAGTTCCAGGTTGCCTGTGGTGTCCTTGTGGAATATTTCTGCAGTTCCCTCTGCTGGACCCTGGGAGGTTTCATATCATTTTTTATTTAATGTCTTGGTCAAAGACTCACAGGATTGTAAAACTATCACCTCGACACCCACATGTGGCAGAGACTTCTTTTTTCTATCGGTGACCTAACCCTTCTGTGCCACAGTCTCCCTCTCCGAGATGGGGCAGTCGTTTTCGCCACCACGTTCATGCAGAGAGAAAATCCAGCTTCTGTATTTTCTAGATCCCATCTAGACATCAGAATTCTCTGTCCTTTAAACACATCCCTCAAGGAACATTCAGGCTGAGACTTCTTTGGACCATTCAGCTTCAATACTGATCCTCCTTAGGGCTCTTGAGTTTCTGCTCTGTGTTTAGTACCCAGAGATTTTCTTTTGTATTCTTTTCTTTTCTTTCTTTGTTCCTTTCTTTTTTTTTGGAGACAGAATTTCATTCTTTCACCCTGAGTAGAGTGCCACAGTGTCAGCATAGCTCACAGCAACCTCACACTCCTGGGCTCAAGTGATCGTCCTGCCTCAGCCTCCGGAGTAGCCGGGACTACAGGCACCCAGCACTAGGCCCAGCTAGTTTTTCTGTTTTTAGTAGAGAAGGGGTCTCGCTCTTGCTCAGGCTGCTCTCCAACTCTCGAGCTCAAGCGATCCACCTGCCTCGCCTCCCAGAGTGCTGGCATCACAGGTGTGAGCCACTGCCCCTGACCTCCCTTTTTGTTTTCATGGTGGGCTGTATGTGTTTTTAAACTTTTCTTTCTGAAAAATTCGTGTGTTATTCAATATTTCTATGTGTTTTGAGTTTGGGGGAGAGGGCCCTGCTTCTAATCAGGCAGTCTATTCACTTGAAGTTACTGCTGAGGTTTATATTCCTGAATAAAGAGGAGAAAAGATGAACATTGACAGTTTTTTTCTTTTACACAGAATGGAATTCTTTTCAACCAAAATTTTAGAATAGATAATATCTATTTTTATGGAAAATCTATTCTTACCAAGTACGAACCTGACTCACTGTATAAAAATAAACCCTTTTTCTCACCTTCATATTGTACATCAGACGCCTTATTTTGGTAACGAGATGAGGCTTCATGTTGGTGTGATATAGAATATTGAGCCCCAGCTGTGCCCCAAACCTGGTGGGGCAGATGGACTTGTAACTTAACTTCTCTGGACACCGTCTGTAAAGGGTGTGGCGGGGGGAGCGTCGATCCTTTCTTCTCCAACTTTCCTTTATGTCAAGCAAATGCATGGAGCCATCTTCTTGAATGTGAATGAGGCTTTGCCTCTTTGCTCAGTAGCCTCTAAGGTGGCTCCAGCAAATCCTCTAAGGAGGCTTGAGAAGCAGGTTTGTAAACCACGAGGCCAGTTACCTCTTTGATTTCTAAAATGAGGTGTTTCGGGGAGAAAGCACAATGAGGCAGCTGCTCCTCTGTCTTCAACATCTACTCCTACCTGCTCCTCTTGTTCTTCTTTTAATAGACTAAAAAACTCATTGAGTAAGGATTACTCAGTCTCTTCCATATCTTAAGTTATAAAACTCTCGTTTTTTTTTTCTTTAATAGGAACCATCTCAAGCAAACGGGGGCATAGAGTCACCCAAACAGTCTGGGTAGAGTTCCCTGCAGTTTAGAAATATTTAATACTACAATAGCATGCATTTTGTTAACATTTGTCTGTGTAACTGTCACTTTAATAACTGATAATATTGGAAAATATTCCCATAGACGGGACATGAAGCAAAACCTGACCTCGTTCTTCCTCTGAGATCTTTGGGCCATTGCCATCTCTCTCAATAGTAGATTAAACGTAGCCCAACATGGAAAGGAGAACAGTATCGCCAGAATCCCATTTCACCTCGAGTATTTCCCTACATGGGAACAGAAACCAACTTTTTGTTTCTGAGACAGGGTCTCACTGTGCTGCCCAGGCCCCTCATACCTCCTGAGTTCCAGTGATCCTCTCGCCTTGGCCTCCATGCATCTGGGAACACAGACAAAAACCATGTCCCCGGCCGTATAAACCAACATATTTCAGTATAATTCTGAGGTGCTACATTGTCATTTTAAAATTTAATTTTAGTTGGGAGCATGTTAATTATTATCCAACAGCTTTTTATTAGTGCCAGCTTTTAAAAGATCAACCTCCAAAATACAGCCTTAAAGCAACATTTATAAGGTGCTTTATAATTCATGTACCAATGGACCTGGATAAGAGGTCAGAAAGGCTTAAAATGCAGACCGCTTCCCATGAGAGCATCCATACCTAAATCACTTACCTGGGGCAACAGAGTGAGACTCTGTCTTAAAATTAAATAAGTAAATAAAAATTGACTTCAGCTCAAATAACAACTGCAATCTTCTTTTTCTTTTAAAAGTTTGTTTTTAATTGTGCAATAATTACACAAACTTTTTCTTATGAAAATGTAAATAATAGCGACGAGACGCATCCATTCTGTGTCCTATTCTCAGGCTGAAGGGATTTAAGATGGTGATAACAAAACAGGGGCCTTTGTTTACCCAGATCACAGATCCTGCAATTATTCATCATTGCTACGTTTCTTCTAGACACAGCTGTTAGACTCGGGTGACATGACCTGCAAACAAAGAAGGCAGTGGTGTGTACCCTACTTTTTCAGATTAATACAGATGTGACAGGCTTCCTTGGTTCTCTGTGCCCTTTCCAGGATATAGACGCAGAATACACGTGTCTGCCCGGCTCCCAAGATGGAGCAGGAGGACTCGTCTGTGGACTTTCCTCCCAGCTCCAGGATGATTTGAAATAAGAAATTGCCTGAGCCAATTTGTGTTCTCCAAAATTAACAGGGATGAATAAAAAGAAATGACTGCTTTGGAACTGAGGTGTACGTGGTGAGCTCAAACTATCAGATTTGCTTTGAAATAATCCAGAAAATAAAGAACAAACGGGAAAACACAGCAGATGTGACAGTCCTTTCTGAACGTAGGTGACGGGTATGTGGGCGGAAGTTATTTCTTTTTCTATTTTTAAGTGTTTTTGAAAATTTTTATAATAAAAAAGAATCCTGGGGAATTAGTTTCGAGCAGCATAAGAACTATAAACCCCGAGCCTGAGTCTGAATGCTCGTCTTTGGACAGTGTTTGGTGCAGCCACGGTCTGGACGCGTTACCTCAGCACGACTTTGTAGTACAGTTCCTCTGCCTCAAGAAAGTGTTTATTATACAGCGTCTGCCTTTCAAGCACTTAAAAAACATTCTAACTTTACAAAGTCTGGGTTAATAAGACATGAGAGAGTTTAATTAAAGTAAAAAATATATAATTGAACACTTCAGGTTAGAGTTTATTTCAATGTTACAAAAAATGGCTCCTCTCCTCCGGCTGGTGTCACTTTCAGATGACGATGAATGAATGAAATCTCAGCGTCCCCAGCTGTCCAGCTCCCCTTCCACTTCATGAGTATAATTGTGTGTCTCTCTCAGTTTGCAAGATTTTCCAGATGACCCCAGAGGGGCACCTTTCACTCTCTTATAAACGGCTTATTCTAATTTTGATTTTTAAAAAATGTGAGTTATATGTAAAGTACCAATAGTGTCCAGGCAGTCAGGTATTTTAAATAAATCTGGGGATTGATATTGGTCAACGTTATAATAGAAGGCCATGCTGTGAGGTTTCAGGCGTTTGGCGGCGTAATGGACGGGGTCTTCCCGACCCGTGTTTGTTACTGTGGAAGAAACGCAGTGCTCGCTGCACCCTTCTTGGTTTTTGTGCCCGAAGCTAAATAGGTGAAGGGCTGTGAAGCTGTCTGAAGAGCTGTGCCAAACACGAGGTGTATCGTGCATGCAGACCGGTGCTGTGTTGGCCAAGCCAGTGGTCGGGAAGGGGGAAAAGTGACCTTGTACTCTCAACATTGTCTTTGCACTGAGTAGAACAGATGAGACTGTGAATTATTCAGAGCCCCGAAAGCTTATAATTGTTAGCAGTGGTGGTTGGCGATGATAGAGGAGGGAGACAGGCCTGTCTCACTCCCAATGTCTGATTCTATTAAACATCAAAGGAATCTTTTCTTGAATCCATCTTTGGGAATTTGAGTGGTGTGGACCCCATGAAGAATCCTTTCCCCTGTTTCATACCTTTTTGAGAATCTGGGTCAAAGAGGCACATGTTAATATTTAGCATAAATTTTTTGGGGGGGGGATGCCGAGGAAAGGAACAAAGGCACTCCAGGGAGAGGATGTGCCGTTCCGGGAGGTAATCCGGCCACACTGCTATCTTCTGTGTTGGTGTTAAGGGTTGACTTGAGCTTCTAGCTTCCAACTCTTGATAGTGTTGTTCTTGCTCTTTACATTTTAAATTCTTACAGGCTGTGGGTTAGACAGAGACAATGTTTGATTGCTAACTAGAGGAAAATTCACCAGCCCTAAATTAATACTTTTTAATAAATATTTGGGGAGTTTGGTCAGCCTATTAGATAGAATATCTAGGGAATTAACATTCATTATTAATTTTAACCATACTTTTGTTTTCTGAATATGTTTCTTCTCTTACTTTTTGTTTACTTGTTTTGCAGAAAGCTAAATGCTTCACATTTATATCTCATGTGTATTTGTTTAGGCTGTGCTGTGTCTGGCAGTGTCAGGTCCATAAGGGAAACTCTAAGACCGTGCTCTTGCCTTTTAAGAAGTTATCAGCTGGTGGGCCACGGTGGCTCACGCCTGTAATCCCAGCACTCTGGAAGGCCCAGAAGGGAGGATCCCTTGAGCTCAGGAGTTTGAGACCAGCCTAAGCAAGAGCAAGACCCCATCTCTACTAAAAATAGAAACACTAGCTGGGTGTGGTGGTGGATGCCTGTAGTCACAGCTACTCGGGAGGCTGAAACAGGAGGATCACTTGCACCCAGGAGACTGAGGTTGCTGTGAGCAAGGCTGATGCCACAGCACTCTACCCAGGGCAACAGAATGAGACTTTGTGTCAAGAAAAAAA